GAGTCCTGCTTTGCCCAACCAAAGCCACGAACACTGGGAAAAGAATCGACTTTTTTTGGCAACGTGCCAAGGGAAAGCCTTCCTCCATTAGAAAAGCTCAAGGTTACAGCAGGGTCTACTGCTAATGGCGTGAATTCCCTCCGTGAACAGCCCCTGGCCAAGGACGTAGCCTCTGGAGAGGATGCTGCAGACCAGTCAGGACACACAGGAGAGACTCAGCCTGGAGAGGGACCAGAAGAATCTGGGACACCTCAGCCAGGGGACAATGATGCTACCCCAGGAGCAGAAGAAAAGAAGAGAGATGTGGAAGCAGGGACAGAGGCTCAGTCCATAAAAAGAAATGCTGAGGCTGGAGCATTAGGAGCAGAAGACAAGGAACAGCCGTTGAGGACAGTGGGAGAGAGGGACGCCCCTGGAGCGGTGGAAAGTGCTGAGAACCCACAAACTGTCGGAGAAATGAAGCCTCTAGGAACAGCTGAGAACATTCTTCCTCTGGAAGCAGCGGATAAGCTACAACCTCAAGAAGCAAAGGGAAAAGATGAGCAGTCCCAGCTTCTAGAAACAATCCCCAAAGAGGATGAATCTCCAGAAATGTTGGAAGGAAGTCAACTTGTGGAAACACCTGAAGAGCAGCAACTTCAGACAACATTGAGAAAAGATGAGCAATCCCCGCTTCTAGAAACAATCTCCCAAGAGAAGGAATCTCCAGAAATGTTGGATGTCAGTCAGTTGGTAGAAATAACCGAAGAGCAGGATCTTCAAGAAATGTTGGGAAAAGACAAGCAGTCCCAGCTTCTAGAAACAGTTCCCAAAGAGGATGTAACAGAAGTACTGGGCAGAAGTCAGCATGTGGAAACTCCTGGAGTGAATGATTCACTCTGTGAAACTCCTGAAAGCCCAGGAAACACAGAGCAGATTCAACCTGAAGAAACAGTGGGGAGCAGGGAGCAGCAAGCAGGAAGTGTAGATTCAGGGACAATTGTGGAAATGGCAAGGGAAAGTCATGCTAACGAAGAGGACCAACACATTAAAGGTAAACGTCATGCTGTCAAACATCCTTAGATGTGCTTCATAGGAAACCAACTCCAGGGGGTGGGAGGTGGGGGGTGGGTGTGACCAACACAGTCATCAAAGTCTCTTTTGGGTGGATAAAGTTCATTGGCCAAACCCAAAAGGCTCCCATACTGGGAACCTGGGAAACAGGCATTCCAATCATGCTCAGCTTGCCAGGAAAACTTTCCTTTTTATTTTATTTTTTTAAGATCAGAAAATATAGTTTATTTAAAAGATTTTAAAGTATCAGAGAGAGAGAGAGAGAGAGAGAGAGAGGAGATTCACCTCCCCAAGGTAGGGGAGAGGGTCAAAGCTTATGAAAACATGGCCTGACCATAGCTCAAAGAACACATGGTCAGACTATAGTTTAGCAAGGCAATGGCTGGAAAACTTTTCTGAAGCATCATCTCTGTCCAAATTTTTTTTTTTTTTGAGTTGGAGTCTCACTCTGTCACCCAGACTGGATTGCAG